AGGAAAAAAGAGGAGGAAGTTGAAAAGAAGTGGAAAGGAGAGAAAAAGTGAAGAGAAAGAAGATGAAGAAAGGGAGTGGAGGAGGTGGAAGGAGAAAGAAAGGAGGAGTAAGAGTAGAACAAGAACGAAAAGAAAGAGATGAAGATGTTAAGAAGAAGGAGGAGGAAGAAAAGGAAGGAAACGATGCATAAGAAAAGTGAGGAGGAGGAGAAAGAAAGGAAGAGCACGAGGAAGAAAAGGAGGAGGAAAAGGAGGAAGAGAACGAGGAAGAAAAGGAGGAGGAAGAGAAGAAAGAAGAAAAGGAGGAAGGGGTCCTAGAAGTGGACAGACACACATACATCAACGAGGGACATTTACATAAACATGAACTGTATAGCGTGACGCCCCATTCATGGTGGCTGCAATACTTGGCAAAATGTCCTATTGGCGAATTTTGAGTTAGAGAGGCAGACAAACAGACGGAGGAGACGGACAGAAAGACAGACAGACAGAGGCGGAGATGAGATCACGAAAAGAAATTAAAATAAAAAAGATCATATGAAATCTCAACCCTTTGAAAACGCTCCACTGTCAGAATACTTTCGTTTACCCTAGAAGAAAAAAGAAGAAATAAACGTTTTCTCTCTTTTTCCCCAGCGTGAATAACACGGCTATTAAAGTCGGGTCATATACCATCAAAATAGGGCGACTTACCTACCTATTCACCCTGATGATCGCAATTGGTACTATTTAAGAGGAAATCCAATTTAGTAGCTGCCTTTTAAAATCTAATAAATATCCTCATAATACCTGAAAAGGAAAAGGAATCCAGCAAGGTGCTTCGTGGGGCAAGACAAAAAAAACTCGTGAGTGATGTGGCATGGGGGAAAAACGTTCGTGTGACGTCATCGGGTTTCAGGGGACTCAAGCCAAGAACGTCCAGACTAGAGACGCCGCCTTGTGCTTATGCTAATGTATTTTTCTGTATTATGGAGGAAGCCAGCTTACATTCTATTAAGATGTAAAATGTAGAACTTTTATGCAATCCGAATGCTTAAACTCTATTTGTGAGAGTTGAGTTCCGGTTGGTAAAGTAATTTGATTATTTGATTTGAATAGTGTACACATATAGTATCGATATATCAGGATGGATGGCGGGCTGAATATGCTAGAGTAGAAAATATAGATAAACAGAGAGAGAAAGATAGAAAGACAGAGAGACAAAGAAAGGTTGAGAAAAAGAAAGATAGAGAGATAGAGAGACTGAGGGATAGAGAGGGAGAGAGAATTTATCCACGAAATATATCATAAGGAATAAGAAATATCTTCACGTGTTATGCATTGTTATTATTATTACTATTATTACTATTATAATTATTATTTACTATTATTATTACAATTATTATTATTATTATTATTATTATTATTATTATTATTATTATTATTATTATTATTATTATTATTATTATTATTATTATTTATTATTTTTTTTTTACGGGGAATTAGCCCACCCGGGCACAGGTCAAACGACCCACAACGGAGCCTGGGGGGCGAAAAAAAAGAACGGAAAGAAATTGAAAATATAGAAAAAAAGGTTATACTGTATTAATCTACACCACGAAGATGCCGGAAAACCAGCTTTTTAAAGTGAGACAGATTGTAAGAGCATGGAAACACAGAAGAAGGCAGAGCATTCCACAGTTTGGCTGTGTGAGGAAAGAAGGAGGTACTATAACGGGTTATTCTCGTGTGACCGATATCAACAGAGAAATGGTGGGCACCGCGGGCAAGACGTGTGTTACGAACCCACGGCCTTACCAGCGGTACACAGGATGCCAAATCCACTGAACATTGCCCGTTAAATTACCTGTAAAAGAGAGAGAGTGAAGCAACATTGCGGCGAAGAGAAAGGGGAGAGAGATTGTCGACTAAAGGAGGAGAGTTAATAAGACGAAATGCCTTTGATTCCACCCTATCTAATAGTTGGACAGAAGAAGAGCCACCCCAGATATGAGAGCAGTACTCCAAGTTAGGACGAATGAATCCCTTATATACTTGGAGCAACTGCTCAGGAGTGAAGTAGCTGCGGCATCTGTACAGCATTCCCAACTTTCGGGAGGCAGCTTTAGTTATACTAAGGATGTGTGATTTCCAGGACATATTGGGGGAAATGGTGAGGCCTAACATATTTATTTCAGAATTTGGGAGGATGATAGCGTCCTGAAATGTAATTGGTGGGAGATCGTCTAATTCACAAAGTGTAATTGGTAAATATTGAGTTTTATTACTATTGAACTTAACCAAGTTTGTACCTCACCATTCAGAGATGCTGCACAGATCCGCTTTGATAGAAGTAATGATATCAGTTCTAGAAACAGATCTAGTTTGAGACTTAGGAGGAAGGGGAAAATGTGAGGAAGAGTGAAGAGTAGAATCATCAGCGTAAGAATGGATGGAATTAGTTGTAGTGTGAAGTAAATCATTGATAAAAAGAAGGAAGAGGATTGGTGAAAGAACAGAACCCTGTGGGACGCCAGTACTGGTAGAGAAAGAGCGAGAGATCGATCCCTCGACAACGGATCGGTTCTCCAAGGAAGCTAGAGATAGAAAACAAAGTGGGGGAGAGAAACCAAAAGAGGGAAGTTTAGACAGCAAAGACTTGTGCCCTACCTGTCAAATGCTTATGACTATTATTATTATTATTATTATTATTATTATTATTTACTATTATTATTACTATTATTATTATTATTATTAATATTATTTACTATTATTATTACTATTTATTATTATTACTATTATTATTATTACTATTATTATTATTATTATTGTATGTATCAGCGGCTTGTGTTCTTATGGTAGTAATACTATGTAAAGTTTTATGGGTAAAATACTCACTGAATTATGATGCCATTATCCCCCTCCCTCCTTTTCCTTCTTCTCCCTCCTCCTCCTTTCTTCCTCTTCCTTCTCCTTCTTCTCCTTCTTTGTCCTTCTCTTCGCCACCTTCCTTCCTCACTTATTCCTACTTCCTTCATCCTTCTTCTCTTTCCTCTATCTCACCCATTTATTCCTCCTACCCTCATTTCTTTTCCGGTACCTCCTCCTTCCTCCTCCCTGACTTCCTCCCCAACATATTCCCTTCCCAGATATCTTCTCTCACCCCTTTCCCTCTCTCACCCCCTCTCTCCCTTCTCCCCAACCTCCTTCCTTCCCTATACCTCCCCTTCACTCCTTCCTCCTCTTCCACCTTTCCACCCCACCTCTCTCCTCACCCCTCCTCTCTCCCCACTCCCCTCCTCTCGCTGGTAATTAACACCTGTTCCAGCGGGTCTCCAGGATGTAACAGAGGACTCAACCCCACCCCCAGTTAGGGTTAATATAAAGAGTGTACAGTGGTTCCTGCCTCAACACTCCCCAAATTGCCCACTTTAACCTTTAAAACCATTTACGTAATTATGTTTACAAGCTGCTTCCGTGTAATGCCTCCTAATGGACCTGTAACAATGGGTCAGATTCTTAAAGCTTCCTAAGTCTTTTGCTCTTATCTTCTCTTTCTTTTTAGGTTAGGTTAGGTTAGGTTAGGTTAGGATTAGGTTAGGTTAGGTTAGGTTAGGCGTTTAACTGGTAATAAAATATCGTATCTGATTCTCAAAGTATCATATGTTAAATTTGTGTTTATTTGACCCCCCAAAAAAGGGTCACTTATGGAGAAAATAATCTAAGATGGTGTCGAATTTGCAATGAGACTCTACCGTAACTAAGCTCACTTTAAACTGTCATACATAACGGAGAGAGAGAGAGAGAGAGAGAGAGAAGAGAGACGTCCACTATATACCACAGTACCACAATAACACTTTATTTATGACAAGCTGCGTCAGAGCGGAAAGCTTGGTTAGGAAGGAGGGAAGCAGACCAGCGCCAAGGGCATATAAACGGGCGGGGGCGAGGGTAAAAATATTCACTTCAGTAGATTAGTCATACATACATACATACATACATACATACATACATACATACATACATACATACATACATACATACATACATACATACATACATACATACATATGATTCACCAATTTCATAATATGTTTTAACTCATTAGGAAAATATCTGACAGCACGGATATACCCAATAATTAGTTACAAATAATCACAACTACCTACTAATTATCACACCTGATGGCCTACAGGTACTTAATTATGCTAATGACTCCAGGTGTAATTATAAGCGTGTATATTTGATAGGTAAATAGGACGTGTTGTGTTGTGGTGATGGACTGAGGATTTTTCACGAGAAATAAAAAGAAAAATACAGAGATAAAAAGAGAGGAAGAGAGACAAAAATAGAGAAGGAGGAAAACGTAAAGACAAATATAAGAAATAAGGAAGAGAAGAGGAAAAAAAATCGAAAAATAAAAGAGGTAGAGAAAAAATTAAATTAAGGAAAGAAAGAAAGAAAGAAAGCGAGAAAGAAAAATGGTAACAAGAGGAAGACAAACAGAAATAAAGAAAATGAAAGACAGAAAGATAGAAAGAGAGAATAGGAGACAAATAGATAAAAAGAAAGAAAGAGAGAGAGAGAGAGAGAATAACCAACAGCAACATAAGGACACACGCACACACACACACACACACACACACACACACACACACACACACACACACACACACACGGATCAGCAACAACGTGAGGAGAATAACTCTTATCTCGTGGCCGCCCGTTCATTAAAGCAGACCATAGACAGGTGCTTAGTGGTCGAGGGAGCCATGAAAGGACCTGAGTGTGTGACAGAGAACATATAGGTCCTCTCCAGGGGGGTATAAAGGGGGTGTGGGGTATAAGAGGAGTGGCAGAGTATATAAGGAGTGGCAGGGGGTATAAGGGGGTGGCAGGGTATAAGGGTGTGACAGGGGAGTATAAGGGTGTGACAGAGAGGGCAGGTGACCAAGGTGTATTGAGGTGCTCTCAGGAGAACTATTGTGTTAATGGTTTATTTATATTTTTTCTTCCTACAGGTACGCCGTGACGTCACTCATAATACTCTGACGTCATCAATCGCTCTTTCCAGCCCTTGACGTCACACACATTAGGCACTGACGCCCCTAGCTACACCGTGACGTCACCAGTCGCCACTACGATTCACATCGTGATGCCACTCATCATGCCCTGATATCGTCAGGTACCGTCAGCCATACTGTGACGTCATTCATCATGACCAGATGTCATCAGCTTCCATCAGCATTACCGTGACGTCACTCGTCATGATCTGACGTCACCAGCCGCCGTCGCCATCATCCAGTATGGCCGCCACAACACTACTGGTGCTGGTCGTCCATTGGTCTTTGTGTCTCCTGATCTGTAAGTTGGCGCCGCTGGAATAACCGAGCAGTTGTCTTGTCGTACAGTAGAGTACAGCACAGTACAGTACAGTACAGTACAGTACAGTACAGTACAGTACAGTATGTAAGTGTTGTGCTGTGGTGGGTGTGGTGCTGGTCGTTGCACCATCACAGCGGGTTACTGGCGCTGGTCCACCCAAGTGTTGGTCCACCGTCCGTAAGTACACCTTAGTATCACCAAACTACCACCACCGTTAACAACAACCCAGCGCACGCGAACAACAACAGCCACCTGCCAACAGCCAGCAGTTACCAGCGGCGCCACGATGCAATAACATTAACGGCAACAACAAAAGCAGCACAAGACCACCATTAACAACAACAACCAACACACCACCAAACAACAACAGACTGCACCACACCACCAACAACAACCAACCTGTACAGCCATAACAACAACAACCACCCACCACCACCACCAACAACAGCACACAGGCAACCAGCAGCCACCCACCACAACACCATTAACCACCACCATGTAACAACAGCAACCACAACCACCACCAACAACAACAACAACAACAACACCACCACCATTAACAACAACAACAGCACAACCACCACCAAACACAACACCATTAACAACAACAACAACAACCAATGTTAACAATGACTATACCAGCACCACCATGGCAGCAACACAGCGGTCCTAGCTACAGCTGTTAATACGTCAGATGTAAAGATACTGCAAAGTAATATACTTGTAGCCCTCCACTACACCACCTAACCCTACCCTCCTCCCTCCCCTCACTACCCTCCCCACCCCCACCTCACCAACCCTGCCCCTCCCTACCCTCCACTACCCTCCCTTCCCCTCCACTACCCTCCCCACCCCTCCACTACCTCCCCCCCTCCCTACCCTCCTGCCCCCTCCACTACCCTCACCAACCATCCTGACCCTCCCACCCCTCCACTGCCTCCCCACCTCACCCAGCCCTCCTACCCTCACCAACCATCCACTACCTCCCCACCCCTCCCACTACCCCTCACCAACCCTCCACTACCCTCACTTCCCTCACTGCCCTCCTGGCCCTCCACTGACCTCACCAACCCTCCACACCCTCCACCCCTCCACTACCCTCCCTTCCCTCCACTGACCTCCATTACCCTCCACTCTCAACATAATTTCAACAGTATCAATCATCTAATTTATTCAGTCATATCTCCTCCTCACCTGAGAGAGAGAGACTTGCATCTCTTCACCGCCAGAGAGAGACTTGCATCTCTTCACCGCCAAGAGAGAGAGACTTGCATCTCTTCACCGCCAGAGAGATGAGAGATAATGACAATCTAAATCAGAAGACCAGAATAGAGATAAAGAAATATTATACGTCATTTGTCTTTATAATTCATGACGTCATTACCATTTGATATCATGAGACAATTGTTAATGGTTGGAGCGAGAGATGTTGTTTATGGTGAAAGTTTCCCTCCACAGCCCTCCAATACCCTCCCTAGCCCTCCATTACCCTCTACTGTCCCTCCACAGCCCTCCAATACCCTCCCTAGCCCTCCATTACCTCCCAGCGCCATTACCCTCCCATCCTGTCATTACCTTCCCAGCCCCCTCCCGGCCTCTCCCAGCCTCCACTCCCCTAGCCCTCCATTGCCCCTCTACTGTCCTCACACCCTCCAATGCCACCCCAAGTCCTCCATTACCCTCCCCAACCCTCCATTACCCTCCCCAGCCCCCATTACCCTTCCCAGCCCTCCATTACTCTCCCCAACCCTCCATTACCCTCCCCAACCCTCCAATACCCTCCCTAGCCCTCCATTACCCTCCAGGCCCAGCTGGGATGAGGCAGTGGGTCACATTTGGCATGGCGTAATATACATAAGCCAGGCTGGGGGCGTTTCACATCCTAAATGCATTTCAGAGTCCAACCTACACCATCTGGCAGTGTGTAAACGCGGCCCCTTCATTTTAGCACTCCATCTGCCCTCTCACTCTACAGTTTGATCATTATTCATGTTATTTATGAATACAGAGCCAACAATTCACCTACAGGTACAATTACAGGTACAGGTACATAATTTATATTGTTAATTCAGAAACACTAATACAGGTACAGGTGTGGATATTCATTTTTTATGGATGTAAAGGGATATGATGTCTGTGGGAATTATTGCTTATATTTTGTGTTTCATTTGCGTCTCTCTCTCTCTCTCTCTCTCTCTCTCTCTCAACTTACAGCAAGACAGGGCCAGACGGGTTCAGGGATGCTGGGTCTTTGTTCCATTTTCAGTGGTGCAAAAAATTGTTGGAGGGGAGACATAATGAGTTTGGTGGTGAATGTCTGTCTCTTGTTGAGGTAAAAATATTCTTCGCCGAGTAGTGCAAACAGAAGAGAGAGAGAGAGAGAGAGAGAGAGAGAGAGAGTTAATTTCCTCTCTCTCTCTCTCTCTCTCTCTCCTAACATATGCTCCCTTATTTACACATTATGTCTGATCTTCCTCTCCCCTCTTCTCCTCTTCATATTCTTCTCTTCTTCCATTTCCTTTCGTCTCTTCTTCCTCTTCCGCCATCTCTTCATCCTCCTCCTCCACCACATCACCTTACCTACCTCCCTACCTACCTACCTACCTACCTTATCTACCTACCTACCTACCTACCTCCCTACCTACCTCCCTACCTCCCTCCCTACCTACCTACCTACCTACCTACCTACCTACCTACTACCTACGCACCTCCTCTTTCCCTCACATACAGGTGTCACAGGCGACCTACTACAGAGGGTGGAGGTCCCCGTGTTCGCCTTCGCCGGGAGTCGTGTTAACATGAGCTGTATGTACGACCTGAGAGCCACGGGTCTGTACTCCCTCAAGTGGTATCATAACGACACTGAGTTCTACCGCCACGTGCCCACGGAGACACTCAGGCCGGTGGACATCAAACCCTCCATCAAGTTCCAGGCACACGTAAGTTGACAGACAGACAGACAGACAGACAGACAGACAGACAGACAGACAGACAGACATAGAATTCTAGTTTAATCCCAGGATGTTCTAGGAATAGTTAACAGGTATAGTAATGTAATTAGTGTTGAGAGTCATGTTTAATCCCAGGATGGTCTAAGGTTATACTGTATGTCTGTTGGTGCTTCGTTTATATCTCTCTTTTGTCCTGGGATTTCCAACTGGTCTTCTCTCCCTCACCCTTATACCTTCTCTCCCTCACCCTCCACACCCCCTTCACCCACCACCCCCTTCACCCACCCATCCCTCACCCTCACCCCTTCCCCACCACCGCCTTCACCTCCTACCTACCCCCTTCACCCCCACACCCATCCCTCCACACCCCACCTCCCTCACCTTCCCACCTTCACCCACCACCCCAGCATCCCTTTCACCCCACCCCCCTTCACCCACCACCTCCCTCCCACATCCTTCACCCACCACACCTTCACCCCACCACCTCCTCTACCTCCACATACCCATCCACACTCCTTCTTACCCACACCTTCACCCTACCTCCCTCACCCCCCCCCCCTTACCCTCCACACCCTTCCACCTACCCTCACACCACCTCCCCTCCCCTCCCCCCCTTCACCTCCACACCCCTTCACCCTACCTCCCTCCCCTCCACCCCTTCCCTCCACACATCCCACCCTCCTCACCTCCCACACCCATCCACCCCCTTCACCCCTTCACCCCCACACCTCCCTCCTCCTCCCTCACCCTCCACCTTCACCCACCACACCCACCCACCTCCCTCCACCTCCACCTTCCACCTCCCCTTCACCTCCACCCCTTCACCCACCCTCCTCCCTTCCATACCCCTTCACCCTTCACCACACCCTACACACCTCACCCCTCCACACCCATACATCACCTCCTTCACCCATCACACTCCTTCACCCACCACACACCACCCACACACACACCTCCTCTCCCCTCCCTCTACCCTCCACCCCACCACACCTTCACCCACCACCTCCTCACCTCCACACCCCTTACCCCACCACACCTCCTCCCCACACACACACACCCCTTCACCCTCCTTCCCCACACACACATCATCCCCACCCTCCCTCACCCACCACACACCCACCACCCCCATCCCACCCCCACACACCTCCCTCACCCCACCACCCTTCACCCCACCACTCACCTCCACTCACCCACCACATTATCACCCACCACCCTTCACCACCACTCCATCACCTCCACACCTTCACCCCACACCCACACCACCCCTCATCCACCCTCCACCCTTCTCACCACCTCCTCACCCCCACCCTTCCCCACACCTCCCCACACCCCACCCACACACACCTCCCTCCACCACCACACCCCTTCACCACCACACATTCTCCACCCCACACACCCCTTCCACCCCCACACATTACCCACCACCTCATCACCCTCCACCCACCCCACCCCTCCACACCACCACACACACCTCACCCTCCACACCCTTCACCCCACCCCTTCACACCCCCACCCCACCTTCACCCACCATACACCCCCACCTCCCTCACCCCCCCACTTCACCCACCCCACCCCCACCCACCACCACCCCCTTCACCCTCCACCCCTCCCACCCACCACCTCCTCACCCACCATCACCCACCACCCTCCTCACCTCCATTTCACCC